AGAGGACAATGCTCTTCTAAAGTCCAATTTGCCATTGTTTGTAATGATAATTGAAGTTGATCTAGCTTATTTGCATCAGCAACAATTTCTTCCAAAAAAGTCATAAAACTTTGACGATGAAATTGGCTAAATTCACAAAGTATGTAAATTATGTAAAAATTACATTATAAATAAAATTAAAATTGTATTTATAATTTTAATATTTTAATATTATAAAAAATTTTAATAAATACTAAGAAGCAAAATATACATAATTGTACATATTTGTGTTTGTGTATTTATATATCTTATATTTATATTATAATAATATCATAATATTAAATTCAATTTAATAATTTTATTTAATTTGTTAGGCATTTCTTTATATTATTACTAGTAATGCTAATTTATCACTTATTTCGAGTACTTAAATTACTGTATATCAGTATTTTAAGTACTCAAAATAAGTGATTAATTGGCGTTATTAGTGATAAATTTCTACAAGAGTTAATAATACAGATTATATTTGATCAAAGTATTGACAGATGAGTTATAAAATGATTAATAAAATATAACAAAACAAATCAAATAAAAATAAAAACAAAACAAGAAATAATATACAAATATAATAAAGGAGATCGTTCTATGAAAGAAATGAAATAAAAATAAAGAAAGTAACGGAAAATCGATATACGTGTCAGATATATTTAAAATAAGATTAAAAAACAAACGTAGCACAAAATGCAATTAAAAAAAAGCAGATATTATAAGAATAATTATAAACGATATGAAGCAATAAAGGAAATAATAAAAAGAATACAAATTAATTTAAAAAATATTTTGGAAAATACTAAATTATGAAACGAAAATAAAACAACATTGAATATGTATATATAAAAAGTCATAAAACAACAATTTATTTCAACAAAAGCGGTTTTCATAGTAAAAATAACGAAAGTAAAGGTAAATCTAGTAACAGATCTAGGAAAATAGCAGAATTGTAAAACTAAAAAAATATAATATGAAATAATGTCAGCAAAAATTAAATAATAAGAGACAATATATGAAATTTGTATTATTATAAATTAGTTAAGATTTATATAATTTTATTTTATTATTATATATTTTATATTGGGTATTACTCACTTGCTATTTGTATATGATCGAATGCCTTTCCAAAATACTTCTTTGGTTACGGAGTGTTGCATCATGCGCAGTATACAGGGTGCTACAATTTACATCAAAATTATAAATTAGTTATATAATCAATATATATTTATTATAATGGTTACATGTAAAATGATATTATATATTATAAAGCAAAATTATTTGTATATATATATATATATACAATATATATATATATACAAGGTACAGTAATCACATAACAGTAGTAAAATGTCTTCTATTGCTGCATGGTTTATCATTTTATTTTAAAAGTAAATTTTTCGTTACAAAGATATAGCAAAACATTAAAGGATCATTTTATTAATATCCTCTACACACATATGCGTAATTATACCGGACACTTCGTGTGTATATATATATTTATAAATGATAATATAATAATAATAATATATATAGATAATAATATATATTTATATATATTATTTAGTATAATATATCTATTTGTGTGTATGTATATATATATATTATTATTTGGTATATATATATATATATATATATATATATATATGTATAATTACGCATATGTGTGTAAAGGATATTAATTAATAATTATACTGTATAATTATACTCGTGTGTGAATACATATTTATATATATTATTTAGTATAATATTTGTGTATATATTTTATATATATATATATATATATATATATACTTATATGTATATACTTTAAATAATTATTAAAAAATATACATAAATATGCATGTGTGTGTGTGTGCTTTTATAATCTTATTTTTTTAATAAAATTCAGATATAGAATTAATTATCTTATAACTTTACAAATATTTTTATAATATCAGTAATACAAAATTTACGCGGATTATTTTATTATATTACGTTATATACCTCTGATGGATTTGCGAAATTTCAATAAACTGTCATCTTGTAAAGTAGAATTCCACATACCATAATCATCAAAATAAAAAGAAGTATGTTGATTTTGAACGACAAATAAATGTATTATTCGATTATCTTGATACATCTAAAGAAAAAATTTAATTAATATATCAATATAAACGCTCTGAAAATACATGCATTAGAAGAACATACTAATATCATTAGCGGTTCTTTTATGTCAAAAAGGAACACTTTCTCACTTTGAAAAACACATATGAATATAAAAATAAAATTATAAATTTTGTATTAATATAATTAACAAATATTACATACTTTAAAAATTATTATCTCATGATATATTATATCGCAGAGTTCTCTTTATCAAAATAAGTAAAATAAATATTGGATATAATAGTTTCTAATTAATTTATTTTATATTTTAGATTTTATAAAAATCTATATGTATAAATACCGTCCGTCTCTCTGTCTGTCTGTCTGTCTGTCTGACCGCGAATTGCTTCCACATTTGTGGACTGATTTTCATCAAATTGGTACCAAAATTTCGCAAATTTTCCGGAAAGTGTGACGATGGTGATTTTTTGTAAGTTTTACGCATCCACCCACGCACTCACCTACGCAATCGCATATTTATGGACCGATTTTTTTTAAATTGATATCAAAGTGTTGCATATTTTTTGGAGATAACGACAATTGGTGGTTTTCTCAAATGTTACACCTCCACCCACACATTCACCCATGCGCATGCGCATTTATGGACCGATTTTTACGAAATTGGTACTAAAATGTTGCAAATATTTCTGAAAAGGCTGTTGTGTGATTTATTTAAGTTTTATTCCACCCACGCATCCACACACGTATTCGCATATTTATTCACCGATTTTCTCGAAATTGGTACTAAAACTAAATATTATATCTTTAATTTTGTAAAATAAAACATTGTGTAAAAACTAGTAAAAGCGGAATTAGTGTTGGGTGAAGCTTTGAGGCCCGCGTGAAGAGCGAACCGAAAAACTAGTATAATAATATCAAATAAAGTAGTGTTAAAATATAAAAAAAGTTTTTATATTTTACATTATATTTATATGAATGTAAATATTTGAATAAGTATTTTTAAAAAACAGTTTAATATATTGTATACATATGTATATATTGTTTAATATTGGATACATATGTATATATTGTTAAAAAGAATTTATACATTTTGTAAAAAGAATTTGATATACGAAATTCCTGTTATATATATGCTTAAGTATGTTATCGTTTTTGAAAAAGTGGAAAGTGATAGCGTTATAAATATTTAGAATAACCTTATTGACAGTATTTATTGCAAGCAATGTAGTAAGAGCTTTGTTGAACCAAGAAGCCGATTGAAACGGATTGTTCAGATTATAAAACCATTGCTGTGTCACTTTATGTCCTACTAATTGAGCTATTTCGATTTTGTGAGAAACAGGATACAAAATTTTATCGTAAACGATATCCATTTCGCTGAAAGTAATATTTAAATGTAAAACTGAGAATTTTTATACAAAATAAAATTTCATTTAGCAAATTGATATTGTAAATTGTAACAAATAATATTTTTTGTAATTTTTAATTTAAGTATAAAACAATGATTTGGTTAATGCGTAAATCATCGAAAAAGAACTTTAGTTTTAATAAATAAAAAAATGTTATTTCTTTTATAGCTTTATTACAATTTTAAAATTTACCTTAGGGGATACGATATAGCATAAAAATTTTTACTTTTATGTATGTATATATTAAAACAATAAACTACAACATTTTGAATTATAGTACGAATAAACTTAATTTATACTACTTAAAATTGTTGTTTTTACAATATCTTATACTTTTGCACATTTACAGAAACAAAAGATATACCTACATGTTTTTCAATTGTATAATTTTGCATACTAATATATAATTTTACTTTTAATGTAATTTTAAGTACTTGTACTCACTTATACAAAACAAGTCCGTAAACTATTATGCCATTATCAGGGAAATTTGGTATTGCAACATGAGTCATTTTCGAAATATTGTTCGAATGTTGTTTCCATGTATTTTTATAGAACAACGTAATATTTTCAGCTACATTTTTTGCAAATTCCATGTGAAATACAGATTCGTTTCTGCACCACATTTGAATATGTTGAGTATTATTATCAACACGTGATAAGTAATTGGATACAATTATTGTTGCAAGATACGGCGACATTGCAGGTGTGATATCGAAGCGTTTCATTAACATATTGTGCTTGTTTTTTTCTGTATTTCGCAATGGCATATTTGACAAAGCCGTGCATTGATTACATCCTATAGATATGTTAAAGGTTGCTTCTAAGAATAAATATTTTTCATCCCAACACGTACTCATTATATACCGGGTGCCTATTATATGAAAATGTGTAGCAGCTACGAAACTATACATTTCAAAGAACATAAATTAATGAAACATTTCTAGCAAGCATCAAAATGTTGAAATTGAAAAATGTTTAAATGTAATAATATGTATTAAAGGTATATAATAATCGTCTTTATATTTAAATTGCATGATATATAATAATATTTGAAACATTTAATACAAAAATAATATATATAAATTACAAGGTTGCATGTAATTGCACATTGCACATTGATTTTAATAAACATATATTATTTACTTACGCAGTTTTATTTTTCACATCGAAAATTCTAAAGACTTCATCAGTAAAACCAAAGTATTTAATATATAAAATGTAATTTCCTGGTAATAACTCATCCTTAAAAGAAAGGTCAATTATGTCTTCTTGAATATCATATGCCGGTTTATAAACTGTATATTTAATATTCTCATAATGTTTTTCTAGATTTTTAATTAAAACTATATTTTTAAAATATAATTCTTCTGAATATATGTTGTTAATTAATATATTTTGCGTTTTGTTAAGAATGTTTATGCTAATATTGTATTCTCCATAGAAAATATTTCCTTCAATATTTGATATATGCTTGATATCGTAATGGATTGGTTTTATATATTCTGATGGTTGATAGCATAAAGACGATTGATTAAGAGTAGAAGCCGTCCCAACGATATACATTATTCCGCTAATTAATAGTAGAAATATCATCGTGTCGAATAATTTATTTTAGGTCTGCAAAACACACTGTAAGCAAAAGACAAATAGAGAAATTAAATAAAGTATTGATGTCTTTTTTAAATCACTAGACGACACAAGAGCGCGTTTGGCGCACGCTTTTGATATTGTTTTTATTATTCATTTTACAATTGTCAAATTGTTAATTTTTGCGATGATGCTTGATGCTATAAAAATGATCATAATTTTAATTAGCCGAATTATTATTTCGACTTATATTTTGTATAAAAAGTAAAAATTAAATTTTAAAATAATTTTTAATTTTAATATATTTGAAAGGATAATTAATTTTAACGACCATTACTGTTCAATAAATATTTAATAATCACCACCCAACGTTTCGACCATGGGTTTTGGTCCTTCTCAAGTGTACTTAAAATTAAAAACTGTGAACATATTATTCGAATGAAACTTCTTGTCGAATCGTGATAAAATAATAGCCAAGGATTATACAACCTTTAATATATTGACATCACAAATAAGTATTAAAATACACACAGATATTTTTTATAAATAAAAAGAGTACGAGAAATTTTGGAAACAGAATTTTAATAATCTAGTAATAAAAGAACAATTAAAAGTGTCTATTATAATATTCATTATCTGTTAATTGCAGTATTTTTTAGTTTCAAAAATTATTTATTCGACATCAAACTTTTGTGGGTTCAAGATTATTTCAACTGTGGCGATAAAATTCATTTTATATTTCAATTTTATTTTAAAATATTAAATTGAGTTGAGAACGAAAGTCGGCGATCGAATATATGTATATATATGACAACGAGCGAAAGAATCATAATGAACAGGTAAAAACAAAGTATCAAAACAAGCAAAATATAACAACGGACAGCTTAACCGATATAGGCAGGAGAATTGATAACATGTCATTTAGCGAACTCGCTGAAGAAAGGACAAATAAAATTATTTTAAATTATCTCTGGATTAAAATTTACAAATAATTTTGAATAAAATTATTTTCTTTATTCTTATACATATGTTGGAAATTCTATAAAATTCCGTCCTACCGTATGATTAAATTTTCTTGCATTTGTAGACACATGTTTTATATGTATGAAAGTTGTTCTGACTTACCGAATATTTCGGAACAGAATGGTAATTGGAAAACTATATATCGTTTTAAAAATAAACTGCAGCAAATTAATGCTTTAGAAGTATGCAATGTGGGAAGAATATAATATATTCACACACTTTATTAAAAGTATTATATCTACAGCGACGTGGTTCGAAAGACCACGAACGACTGACTGATTTTCTGGACGTGTCTTCATGCTAAATATGATGTGTTAAATCAACAAAACTTCTAAGGTCGTTATATACAGGATGTTCGACAACAGGTGGGCCAAAATGTAAGGAGTGATTCTACATGATAAAATAAGACGAAAATCAAGAATGACAAAATTGCGTTCGAGACTTTGTTTATTAATTATAAATATTTTACATTTTGCAAAATATACATCAACTGTTACGATGTAAGTTTTTGTATACTTATGCGTCACAGTGTATATTGACGGCGACTCTACCGATGTACCTTACGCGTGCAAGATATCGGCAAATTGCCGTGCGTCAGGCGCCCTTAATGCGAAATTTAAAATATTTATAATTAATAAACGAAGTCTTGGACGCAATTTTGTCATTCTTGATTTTTGTCTTATTTTATCATGTAGAACCACTGCTTACATTTTGGTCCACCTGTTGCCAAACACCTTGTATATACAGGGTGTCCCATAATTCGCAAACCACCGGGAATGGGCAGATAGAGCGTGTTAAACTGAATAGAAAAGTCCTGTATCATTTTGCGATATTCGCAATAATTATTGAGTTATTAACTAAAATATCTAAACGAGCAGGTAGAAAGCGGTAGGCCGGACTCGATGTGCATGTTGGATGACTTGTTTGTTATATGCCGCTCAGTATCAAAAGTATCATCTTACTTTTCGGCGCCACTACATTGCTCGCTGCATGACGCCGCCTCTCGATCAAATAATGCTTTCTACCTGCTTATTCGTTTAGATATTTTAATAAATAACTCAATAATTATTGCGAATATCGCAAAATGATACAAGACTTTTCTATTCAGTTTAACACGCTCTATCTGCCCATTCGCGGTGGTTCGCGAATTATGCGACACTTGTATATACATATATATATATTTGGATGTATGGCGGCATTTGTGTGTAACGGTTGATTTAATTTAGCACATTTAACTTTTGCCTAATTAATCAAATTATTAGGCATTGTTTATACACATTTATATGACTTATTATTTCAACAAACATTTTTGCTAAAAATATTGTGTAATTTCTCCTCATTAACTTATCCTTCGATAATTTTATCTTATTAATTCAATTAGTATAAATATGTCATTATTTAATATAAATATATGCAGTTGCACATTTCTATAAATTGCAATTTTTTTAAATCAATGGAATGTTTTTTATATACCAATCAATTTATTCACATTGATTTGTGCAGACGTTTATTTTGATAAAATTATATTGCAAGATAAATACATTACAAGATGTTTCATATTTGTGTCAGAAAAAAACATAAAACGTTTAAAAATCAATGATTACTATCAAATCTCAACAATGTTCCATCTGAAATAAGACCATATACTTACGACGCGACGCGCTTTTGCAAATTTTCCAATAAAGTATATTTTTCGAAAGAGAAACTTTGGTTTTGAAATTACAACAATACTTAATTTAAAATAGGACACTTTATATTTTTTGTTAAAAATATACATTTAATTATACATGTCTTTATGCACAATACTGTGTCTTTATACTGTACCTACTTCTGTATGTATAAGTATATAATATAAAATCGTAAATATTATAATCGCTTCTTTATTAATCGCGATATGTACTATTTTTTTGTCTTTTTATATCAATTTTATTTAATTTTAAAATTTTAATACTTTGTTTATGAAATCGTACTCTATGCGCAAAACCATAAAGATTTATAACTGATAAAATTATTATTTTCATATAACATTTTTGTAAAAAGTTAATACAACATAAATTTTCAATTATTAATGACAGTCACTAGTATTTAAATAGGAGTTTTTGAAAATATTTTTCAAAATTTATTTTACTTTTTTTCAAATTATATATATACTAAATAAACAGACTGTGAATATAAAGCCAAAATAAAATACAATTTTAAATATAAATCGTGACTTTTCGATCTCAATATTTATTTATAATAAAAATTATTTTATAATAAAATTATAATAAAAATATGTGGAAATTATAACATTTTTAGTTTTAAGGCATTTTATTCGATTAATTTTTTTGGGTCGAAAATTATTTCAATATTACGAATCTTGAATTAATTATATGTAAATATAAGCGTATATTACACATAGTAGCTTCATTTTCATATTCTAATCGATTAGCCATAGAAAGATTTTAAGAAATTTTAAATTTTTCGATTTCAATGTAACGGATTTCTATCTTTTTCGAATTTGTTGTTCGTGTTGCAACACCGTTGTGTACAAAATTTATTTTGCTAAAAGAGATTCCACATTTATCATTGCGAATAGTAAGGAACGATACATAATGCAGAAGCAAATGAAATAATAAGACAATTTTTTAATATTAAAATTTATTGACACACACATATATATATAACTAATAATACATTTTTATACTATTTAAATAATAAATTGTTATATATATACAGGGTTCTTCCGGAAAGTAATGCGTCGCATTTTTTTAAAAAAGAATTTATTGATCGCATAGGTAAAACAACTTAAAATTGTTCGAAGTATGACCCTTCTGCGTCAATACATTTTTGCCAACGCGATTTCCATGCGTCATAAGATTTCTGGAACTCCTTGACTGGGATGCTGTTCAGGGAGGCCGTCGAAGTAGCTTGTACGTTGTCAACCGACTCGAGCTGTTGTCCTTTGAGCTCCCTTTTCAGCCGAGGAAATAAAAAAAAGTCCGCCGGGGCCAAACTTTCTTGAGCATTTCAAAAGTTTCCAGCGGCGTCTTGTCCAGCTTCACGCAAAACTTTATCGCATAGCGTTGCTCTATCGTTCTCTCCATCACAAGTTCGACGCGACCACTAAGCAGAGGTTCACAGAATAAGCCGTCCTAACCCTCCAAGCGCATGGAAACAATTGAGCGACCTACTGTTGGAAAGCTAAGGGTACCCCCCTTCCTCCCCAACCGGTCCCATCGCTCTGCGATGTATAGTCACGTCACAAAAAAATGCGACGCATTACTTTCCGGACAAACCCTGTATATATATCTGTGTGTGTGTATTTGTGTGTAAATATATATTTTCGTTAATTCACGTAACAAAATTGAAAACAAATCAATATATAAATTAAAATGAATAGATAATGCACACACATAATTTAGGTGCACTTATTATTTAGCAAGTTCTATTTATATATTTATACTATTTATATTATATTATTATATCTAACAGTAAAATTTATTGTAATATAATATGGCTACAACTCTAATACTAAGCAGGTAATAATATATAGTTTAACTACTTCAAACAAGATCGCAAAAAAATGAAAATCTTGATAAATGCAGTCTTATAGTTTTGTAAATATAAAGGCATCGGATAGTAATACATCTAAATAAACAATATTTAAAGCAGTAAAAGAAATAGTACATGCAATATAAAAAAATTATTCATATAAAGTACGTCCTCGTATAAAAAACTGTAATTTTTTTTACATCCATCAATTAGAAGAAGAAACCTTCAAAATACTGTCTCTGTCTTTTGATTTGTCTCTTGCGAACATCAACATGGTTTGTTATTTGTTTAATTAACTCATTCTTATCTATCACACGATCACTCATCTAAAACAAATTGTTTCATTAACTATAATATAATTAGATAAATATAGTAATCTCATTCCGCATTATGCAAATCTTAATATATATAAACAAAGATTGTCATAATGAAATCAACATACTGATTATATAAAAAATAAACAAATATAAAAATAATATTCTGAAATTAATAAGATATAACAATATTTGATATTCTTTTGCTTTCCATAATAATAATATTTATTAAAGTTACCTCCTTTATTCGAAGTCTTTCTGTTTCAAAGTTATTTTCTACAATACTGCTAGCATTTCGTGATATTGACTAAAATGTATTTTTATAACATTATTAACAAACAATTATTCTAATATCAAGTTATTTTAAACAATAAATAATAATTAATAATATGCATTATTATCATATTGTGTATACATATTCAAACATGTAAAATTTTTACCTTAGCTACATTTTTAGAATATACGTTATTAATCATAATAATTAATGCTGCAATTATATTAACATTTCTAAAAACAAAAAAAATCAGATATATATATATAATACATATAATAAACTTTTGTACAAAATATTTATAAAAATATGACACGTTACTTTGGTTTTATTTCGTTAAAATGATCTAATATATATGTTAGTATAATTGGATTCTTCGCATGCTTCGTAATAAAATGTAAGAAACTGTTAACGACAAATTGATCTCCCTGTTTTGTATAAGTGTGCTGTTTATGTTTTGTTGCTAAATACATTTTGATTAACTCAGTTTCTTCAATGCAAGCCAAATATTCTGAAAATTTAATGTCAGTTTTGTTCAATCCTCTAGTATACACTGTTCCAAAAGTTTTTGCATATCTCGTAGTTGTCATCAAACCTCTACAATATGTCCATGCCGTCCACCATGGCAAAAGCCTAAAATATAAATAAAATTTAATTTTCTTATTAAAGATTGGCGTATTAACTTATTTGAACATTATAGGAGATATCTACAAGAAAATTTGATTGAGAAAAACTAAAAATATGTAACATAATTTACCTGTATTTTATAGGATCTTGGAGATGTTGTTCTAATTTATTTTCTGCTTCTCTCATACAAATGATGTGACCAAAAAAACATGCCCATCTTGCAGCTTCTTGTCGTAAACATATTGTAAGTTCGTCTGCATCATCAATTTCTTCATATTGGATTTTTTCAAGTAACTCGTTTAACATGAATTTTAGCTTATCTATTCTATCCTAAAAATCATTAAATATGTATTTCTTTATTAATATCTTTATAATTATACTTCATCGACAAAGATTTTAAGCATCCAGCTATGTATCCAATAACAATGTTATATATTAATATTATTCACAGTAATGAAAATCATACACTTTGAGAACTGTTCATCGCGTGAGTGATTATTCAAACTAAATTTGTTTGCACATTTATGTGAGACGTAATAACATATAAAACTTTATCGCTAGATATATTTCTTTTTAAATATTTAAATTATTTGTGATCAATCAGTGTATATATAAATATTTAAATGTAATACTTTCATTGAAATTGATTAATATTTACCGCATATTTTTCAGTTCTTTCGTCCACTGGAAAAGTACTAAACATGTATTCCAGAGCTTTAAACATAGGATACCATGCGATATAATCGTCTTCTTTATCCAAATACGATGTGATACTCCAGAATATACATGCTTTGAGTTGGCCTGCTATCATTAAATGAAATGCATCATCGATAATTTGGGCACGATTAAGAACATGAATTGTCGTAAAATCATTATAGTATAGATAATCTGAAATTCTTCGCCAATTCTCATCATCATAGTTAACGCGGTAATATCCTGTCGAATAATAAATAAATTTTAACAATTTATATTATTTTGAATAATTTTTATTATTAATATACACTTAATTTCAAACATTTTTGTTTAATATTTTTGTTTATATAAATTATAAATTAAAAACATATCAATAATTCAATGAGATGCAAATACATATTGAAAATTAATTATAAATTATAAATGAAATTGTGCGAGATATTGTTGTATATCATAAAATAAAATTGATTCTAGTTGTGCATATATATAATAATTATTTTTTACTAATCAGCAAAAGTTCTGTAACATGAAACTGTACAAAAATTTTATTTTACCTGTATATTTATATTAGTATACTAATTTTATAAATATAATTAACGTTTTAATCATTTTTATTATTATTAAATTAAAATATTTGTAAAAATATAATTTTAATATTGATTGATATTATATAGAAAACGCCGATATATATCTTATTAATTATATATAATAATACAGAACATTATACAAAAATTTTAAAACTATGGTATTTATATATAAGAATATCTCAGATTTATATATAATAATGTGTATAAAGCAAAAAAAATATAAAATAATGTCAATTGTGTATGTGTGTAAAATAAAGATGAATAATGAGTCATGATAAGTCAATTAGTCGATATTTACCAATTTGTTGTAAATTGATTATAACCCAACCTTTCTCTTCTAATGAGAATGAAATAACATCATCCCGTGATTTGCATAGCGCGCGGTGATCAAGACTGTCAAAATCGGAAACCGACTGGATAGTATAAGTTACAGGTAAGCAATCAATTTTTAATGTGTCGGGATTTTGTATCGATAAATGTATTTTGGTTGTTCCCAAAAGACTATAATTTCGTTCTACTTTGATGAGAGGACAATGCTCTTCTAAAGTCCATTTTGTCATTGTTTGTAATGATAATTGAAGTTTACCTAGCTTATTTGCATCAGCAACAATTTCTTCCAAAAAAGTCATAACTCTTTGACGATGAAATTGGCTAAATTCACAAAGTATGCAAATTATGTAAAAATAACATTATAAATAAAATTAAAATTGTATTTATAATTTTAATATTTTAATATTATAAAAAATTTTAATAAATACTAAGAAGCAAAATATAATTGTACATTCAGAAATAAATATTTTTATCGGCTCTCAATATAAATAATATAAGTATGCTGTCTTCTAAGCTGGGCAATAGAGCCAAGGAAACGAAACGAAAAATTAATTAAACGGAACTGTATCTCAATTTGAGATCCCAAAGTTCCACATATAAATTAATTTCGAAACTTACATATGGAGAAATAAGCGAGAAAAATATAGGTCCGAAAAGTCGCTGAAGCGGGAATCGAACCCGCGTCTTTCACTTTCCGGGCGACTGCTCTTACCAACTAAGCTATTCAGACCCTTTCGACCCTTTCGTTTCGTTTCCTTGGCTCTATTGCCCAGCTTAGAAGACAGCATACTTATATTATTATATTGAGAGCCGATAAAAATATTTATTTCTGAGTTTATTCACGCCTTGGGCTAATCACGGCGGTATTTACTAATATCTACTAAAAAGGCAAATGAAAAATATAGGATCGAAAGGGTCTGAATAGCTTAGTTGGTAAGAGCAGTCGCCCGGAAAGTGAAAGACGCGGGTTCGATTCCCGCTTCAGCGACTTTTCGGACCTATATCTTTCTCGCTTATTTCTCCATATGTAAGTTTAGAAATTAATTTATATGTGGAACTTTGGGATCTCAAATTGAGATACAGTTCCGTTTAATTAATTTTTCGTTTCGTTTCCTTGGCTCTATTGCCCAGCTTAGAAGACAGCATACTTATAATTGTACATATTTGTGTTTGTGTATTTATATATCTTATATTTATATTATAATAATATCATAATATTAAATCAATTTAATAATTTTATTTAATTTGTTAGGCATTTCTTTATATTATTACTAGTAATGCTAATTTATCACTTATTTCGAGTACTTAATCACTTATTTCGAGTACTTAAATTACTGTATATCATTATTCAAATATTTGAAGTAAGTGATTAATTGGCGTTACTAGTGATAAATTTCTACAAGGTTAATAATACAGATTATATTTGATCAAAGTATTGACAGATGAGTTATAAAATGATTAATAAAAAAATAACAAAATAAATCAAATAGAAATAAAAACAAAACAAGAAATAATATACAAATATAATAAAGGAGATCGTTCTACGAAAGAAATAAAATAAAAATAAAGAAAGTAACGAAGAAGAGATTCACGTGTCAGATATATTTAAAATAAGATTAAAAAACAAACGTAGCACAAAATGCAATTCAAAAAAAGCAGATATTATAAGAATAATTATAGACTATATGAAGCAATAAAGGAAATAATAAAAGGATTACAAATTAATTTGAAAATTATTTTGAAAAAAATAAATTATAATACGAAAATAAAACAACATTGGATATGTATATATAAAAAGTCATAAAACAACAATTTATTTCAACAAAAGCGGTTTTCATAGTAAAAATAACGAAAGTAAAGGTAAATCTAGTAACAGATCTAGGAAAATAGCAGAATTGTAAAACTAAAAAAATATAATATGAAATAATGTCAGCAAAAACGAAATAATAAAAGACAATATGTAAAATTTGTATTATTATAAATTAGTTAAGATTTATATAATTTTATTTTTTTATTATATATTCTATATTGTAATACTCACTTGCTATTTGCATATGATCGAATGCCTTTCCAAAATATTTCTTTGGTTACGGCGTGTTGCATCATGCGCAGTATACAGGGTGCTACAATTTACATCAAAATTATAAATTAGATATATTATAAATATATATTTATTATAATAGTTACATGTAAAGTAATATTATATATTATAAGGCAAAATTATATATATACAAGGTACAGTAATTGCATAACAGTGAAATGTCTTCTATTGCCGCACGGTTTATCATTTTATTCAAAATTTATATATATATATATATATATTTATGTACATTCTATAATTAATTTAAGGTATATAAATATACGTATATATATATATATATATATATATATATATATACGTATATTTATATACCTTAAATTAATTATAGAATGTACATAAATATGTGTGTACTTTAATAACATTATTTTTGTAATAAAATTTAGATAGAAAATTAATTATCTTATAATTTTAAACATATATTTTTATAATATTAATAGTTCAAAATTTACGCGGATTATTTTATTATATTACGTTATATACCTCTGATGGATTCGCGAATTTTCAATAAACTGTCATCTTCTGAAGTAGAATTCCACATTCGATAATCACCATCCAAATAAAAAGAAGTATGTTGATTTTGAACAACAAATAAATGTATTATTCGATTATCTCGATACATCTAAAGAAAAAATATAATTAATATATCAATATAAACGCTCTGAAAATACATGCATTAGAAGGAAATACTAATATCATTAGCGGTTCTTTTATGTTAAAAAGGAATAATATAAATTTTGTATCAATATAATTAACAAATATTACATACTTTTAAAATTATTATCTCATGATATATTATATCGCAATGTTCTCTTTATCAAAATAAGTAAAATAAATATCGGATATAATTGTTACTGATTAATTTA